CCCCGTCCCCGCCCCGCCGCACGACCCTGCCTCGATCGGCTTGGCCTTGGGGGTGCAGGGGGCGGGGCCGGGCGGGCCGCGCATAGTAGTTGTCGAAATCCAGCTGGCAGCTGGTGTAGGCGCACTAGCCCACAAACCCCACGCCGATACGATACGGCCGACTCGGGGGGGCGTCCGTAAGCCGCACGAGTGCCACACTCGCTCCAACTCCAACAAGTGGAAGGGAGGCGGGCTAGGCGGGGATCAACAGACGTCGCCTCCCTCACCGCGCGTGTCCCGGCCGAGGTCCGGCGGTGCAGACTTTCCTTCATTAAACTCCACCCGACCGGCAAGCTGGCCGACGTCTTGTTTGGGTTTCGGTCTGGATTTGCGTTTGGGGGGTTTTCTTATTCATCGCCTCGCCCTCGCCTCCCTGTGGCCTCCAGGAAACCACTCATCCTTTGTCGCACAGAAATGTCGATGACGACCAAAAAACTAATGACGCATCGAACAACCCTCTGGACCTCGGCAAGGGTTAGTCTTCAAACAATTACGGCTAACAAAGGTGTAGCTAGATTGTCCGACATATATTTTGGGGGGGTTGAGGGTTCGATACCAACGTACCCCTGTACATGAAGGCACGCACGAGCAGGTGTGTGCTTACCAGGTCGACTGTTACAAGTGTGTGCCTTCTTTGGTCGACTGTTACAACGGTATATTTTTTTATTTATTATTTTGTAAAAGAAAAGAAAAGTTAAGCCCCCCGAAGGGGACCCGCCTGGCTTAGTCTGTGGGCGTCTTCGGTGATCGAGGGAACTGGAGCTTTATCCACAGCGGCCGCAATGACGCGCAATTCGCCAGAACCGGCCCCCGTACTTTTTGGTTGTTGGACTTACTACTGCTTTTTGGGGGGTTCCTTAGGTGAGGGGTCGGCAAAGACTTAGCCACTGTATCGCTCTTTTAGCGATTAGGTAGCCCGCTCACCTCTCTCCTGGTTTGGAGGTAGCGCCAAACGTCCGGGTTCAGTGCACTTTCGGTCCGGAGAAAAATAGATCGGACAATCTAAGTACACCCTCACCCCCCACTCCTCTTCGTCCTGCGACTCCTCGTCCCCCCCCCCCCCCCCCCCCCCCCCCCCCCGACCCCTCCCAGCATCGTGAGCGCTGACGAGCGCAGCTCCGTCACCTTGTTGTTAATCTTGATTCGATCCGCCTTCTTTCGGTTTGGTTCCTTTATTCTACCCTCTCAATCTACCCCGTCCAGTATCCCCCCCCCCCCCACATATTTTCACTCATATGAAGGGAAAAGTCGCTATGTACTGTCACAAACTCACCCTGATTCCCATATTTCTGTGTGTTTCAGGCCACGCCCACTTGACGGACTTCAACATCGCCACGGTCCTAGAGGAGGGCCACCTCGCAACCTCAATGTCTGGGACCAAGCCCTACATGGGTAAGTTCATCCCCGCCCAATTCACAGCAGTGTAAAATACACACTAAATGGTGAGGGCGAGGGGTGCCCAACTCCATAAAAAGTGCAATCGGAATATCTCATAGGCAGATTTAGTGCGACTATCCGTAGTACCCCTAATCTCGTGTTAGAGTGCTCCATGAAGCTGGCCCCACCCATGCTCGCACAAATTCAACCGATAGTGCCATAATTTAGTGCCCGATTAGTGCAATCGGAATATCTCATCGGCAGATTTAGTGCGACTATCCGTAGTAGTTTTTTGGTGCAACTTTTTGTGAACCGGCTGGGAAGACGACGGTAAATATTGAATGTTTCTGCGCCGTCATGGGGTACGCTCCGATCGGGTCGTGACGAAGGACGAGGGACGGAGAGGAGGGAGGAAGGGGGGGGGGGGCTGCTTGTAGTGCAGGCGGTGTGGGTCGAGTGGTGGCGCCGCCTGCGCGGTATGCAACCCCCGAGCAGCCGAGTCGCTGTGGCTTTTATCGGGCTCGTGTTGGGTAGGTGGGGGAG